GAGGGGATGCTAATGGCGGCGGGGCCCGGGCCAGACGCGTGCTGCCGCCTGCCGGCCGCTCCGCGCTGCAGCGGGGCAGGCAGGGCAAAGCTGGCGGGTCGGGGACCGGGCGTGCCACATCCTGGGACCATCAGGCCTTGTGGAGCTCATGTGCCACCCAAAGCTGAAAGGAACACGTGCTACTTGATGGTTTCTTGCCCGCTTGGAGGTGTGGGCAGTCTGAACGGGGAGGAAAGGAAGCAGTAATCAGGACACTGTGCTGAATAAAAGAGCCAAGATCTGACAAACTCAAACAAATCTGAAGTAAAAAAAAAATAAAATAAAAAAAGAAAGTATTGTTTTTTTCTGGCCTGGCAGTTTCCTAGATAAAATACAAAAAAATGAAGCCAACGGTGATGGTTCAGCGCAAATAACTTCTAGAGATTTAACTTGGAACATACATCACTGAAATACTTTAAGAAGATTAGTTCAGGAGGAAAGACTCCAGTGTCTGGCAGCATATTTTGTTTGACTTGATCTGGCAACATTCCTGTATCACAAACACAAACACATACCTTTGTTCACCTGTGCAGCCAAAATTAAACTACTGTTAGTGACAAACACCTTTCTGCTCTGTCCAGGCCATCTCTCCAGAGCAGAGGGCTTCAGCATCCAAATGGGCATCTGACTGGGTGCCTAGCCAGGAATCCCGCCTGCCAGCACAGAAAGGAGCCAGGGCATCAACACCATCTGGTGCACTCCCTGCTAGAACAGTTTTGCTGGCCTTGGCAAGACAGTTAACAGGAGCTGCAGAAGCAGAACTCGATCCCCTGGGCCAGCACTCCAGGAATCCAGCCAGAGCCACGGCTGAGGGCAGTGGGAGTGCCTGGCCAGGGATGCTGACACAGCCTCAAGCAGCCCCAAGTGGTCCTGCCCAGCTGTGCCAGCCTGCAAGAGTTAAGAGCAACTGGACTCTCTGGAGCCCAAGCCAAGGACATAACATCTTCCAGGGCTTGGTTCACTTCTCATAGGTTCATCTAACCTAATTCTGTTCTTCTATCATGGGTCTCCACTACAAAATAACTCTTTATTCAAGAATATGACCAGAGGGTTCTGGACGTCCCTTTTAACTGACTGGAAGAAGGGATGTGAGATGAGAAAGCACATCCTCCTCCTCATGCTGTTGACACCCATTCCCCAAACAGGGATCCAGGTAAGACTCTGCAGTACTAAACCAAACATGTCTGTGCTGGACAACATGAAAAACACTGCCCTGTTGGTGTCTGACTGGGTTCATTGAACTGTGTCTCTACCAGAACTGAGATCAGGAGTTCATCGAAGCTCAGGTTAGAAAAAAATACAGAAAAAGACTGGAGAACAAATATATTGAAACAGAATTTCCAAATTTGCCACCGATTTTGCAGTTCAGATTTCTGGAGTTCTTCCTCAAAACTTGAGTAGTTGCTTTCACAAGTTTGGTTTTTTTGTAGCTGGTTTCCTGTGCTTAAGCCAAGACACATCAAATACGACAGCATTAACATCAAGAAACTGACTGGCATGCAGCTCCAGCTCAGAGATGCACTCCCTGCTCTGGACAAAAGATAAAAATATCAACTATTCTGATGTCTTTAAGCACTTTACTTTATCAAGTCCTAAATTAAGTGGATGAGAAAGCAGAACTGGGGCACTTCTGTTTTGTAATGACAATGGAACTTATTCATGACTTCATTACAGGCAGAATTTTGTTTGATCTTATCTCAGTACTACAGGCTTTACTGTTGTAAATAAAGTGGCTCTAAAAAAGCATGTGTTACTTCAAGCAGAAAAGAATTATTAAAGCAATTTAAGATAAAGAGGGGACATCTGCATAAAAATAGCATAAAATCAATTGGGGGGAAAGTAAGCAAGGTGGAAAAGTCACACGACTTCAAACAAAACAGAAAAAAACAATCAGATGCTTAAATACAATTAGCCCAGGACTACAACAAAAAAGCATCATCCCATTTTTCAGATAGCTTCATGAAAGCACAAAAAGATTTTCATTGTCCACATCACAATTTACCCCAGGCAGATCTTCAGACCTTGCTCATTTGGTATCAAATTCTTAAGAAAGAAAAAGCATGAAAGCATGTAACATTTCAAATATATAACCCATAATAACTCAAGGGCTCAGTCCTAATCTGGCGTACACAGAAGTTTGAATAAACAATAGCATATTTACGTTCATGTATACAGGGTACCAGCAGATCTCACAGTGGAAGCCTGCCTCAGACATTTAGCCTCAGTTGAAGAAGCTGTAATTCTTCCCTTTATAATCTGACATACCTGCAGGGAACTATCTGCTCTGGAATTCATTTCATTGTGCCCTCAGCTGAAGCTACTGAACTTACCCCTTGGATACTTCCTTATGACAGTGAGATTCAGTTCTTTACAGTCCTGAGTAGAGTGCAGAAAACTCTATACCAGCAGGAGACATCTCACAGCTAAGGAAGGCTTCAGCCTCTGCAGTCACACTAGCCCTCAGTGGCAGGCAGGTATCAGGTTGGTACAGCACAGGAGTGGAAACTGAGGACCACTATGAAGAAGCCACAACCAGACTGCACCCCTTCACAAGCAGTTGTCCCCATTAAAGACAGAATATTATTGGCTTTGAGATCAAACAGGAGGTGTAGGTGAATCCTCTTTTTGTCCTAATAGTTAATGGTAGACACAGAATAAACTGTGCTATGTTATGAACCCAACAATTTATCATCTGATAACAGCACTGGCAGCTATTACGTGCAAGAAGCAGATTCAATTGGTTCTACTGCAGAATCATGATGGGCTTGATGTGCTTTCCTGGAGTATGGTCTGTGCAGGGGTTTGGGGCCAGTGGTTAGGATTCTGATAGCTAGCCAGTTAATGCTATGACAAAGTGTCACGTATCTGAGGAATATACAGTGGATGTGCTGGATGCTGGCTCCTGAAAAATGCTTGCAGTGCATATTTACCTGATCACGCCACACAGATGTGTCTCTTTGATACATCTTTATATGCATAAAGCTAAGAAATAAGGACTCTTATAAAAGCGTTTTTTTTGGAGGCATATTGAAAACAGCTCCTCCTCTCTATCCATGGTGTCAACTGATGTTCTTTCAAAGGGGTTCTGATAAAAACATAGAATTCTTAAAAAACAAACTATCATATATTAGTAAAAGTAGAAGTAGTAATAATAATAATTAAAATAACACCAATACAGCATCTGGGGCAGTAGACTCCTTGCAGCTAAAGGAATCAGCTTAGTGCTGTAGTTGTCTATTGGTAAAAAACCCCATCAAACAACAAAGAATCAACAAAAAGCACACAAACAAACCCAAACACCACAAAAACCCCCCAAAAAATCAAAACAAAAAGCCCCAAATCAACAGATTTCTGCTAAGTACTGTGGCTCTGATGACTGGTAAGAAGTCAGGAGTCTAAAGAGAATTTAGGAACCCAAATTTTCTGTTGTATTTGACCATCGGCACACAGGAGTTCACTAGGTCATTCACTAGGTCACAGTCTTCTGCTCAACCAGCAACAATCTCTGCTTTAGCCTTTAGCATAGAAGGAAGATCAGGCAAATCCAACCCAGCTGCCCTCAGAGGCAGAAGGAAAACCCAGAGTGCTCTCTTGCTTCCTCTAAGCATAGTAACAGTTTGTGGAGGCAGTTGTAAGTGACTTAACGTTTTGTACATACAATCCTGAGACACACGTACAGCACACAGCTTTGTCAGACAAGAAACACAGAATACATACTCAGTTTCTCTAGGATCTCCTCATCTGTCATCTTGGATTTTTTTCGCTGCCGGTCTGTGTTTCTGTACAACGTGTTTGTGCTGGAGTTTTCAGGCTGGGGAGTGGTGGCTTCTTTAGCTGGTGCTGGTGCAGCAGCAGGTTCAATTACAGAGCGTGTGTAGATCTGTGACAAGATATTATTTTGTGTCAAAAAAGTGGCTGGCAGAGGTGCCCCTGAGATCACATTTCAAATACGACCCCTTAGGAAAAAGCTTTCTGCCATATCCAGGGCTCTTAAAATGTTTAGTTTTGCTGTTCACTTCTCAAACTCAACAGGCAAAAACAAAAGGTTAGTTTTACACAAGTTCATGGTCAGTTTAATTTTAAATTTTAATTGATTTTCTGATAGATCACTGAAACAATTAATTTAAACTGTTGAAAGGATACAGAAATAGGCTTGCTCAGGGCCCCAGAGCCTCGTTCCTTGATGCCCATGTGTTTTCATGGGTTTAACAAAATTACTCTTTAGTTGGAATATAAGTGTCTGGATATAAGCAGGAAGCATCCCCCTTTTCTGATAATCTGAAATGACTTTTCATCAGTGTTTCTTTAGGAAGCGGCCATTAGGAACTGCGTTCCAGTCCTATAGAGACCTACCTTCTCTTCACAATGCATAGCTGAAGAGGTTCTTCTCCCCAAACTTCAGTCATGTAAAAGTTAAGGGTGTACTGTAAGTTGTTCATTTTGCTATGTCTGTGGAGAAGGAAAGGTACTTCCAGGGGACAGTTCCTCCCATGTATCCTGCAAGTGTGAACTCTGTCTAAGGACAGCTCTCTCCATCGATGACAGAGCCTACACAGATCCTCTGGACAAAGTTGCTCCCTTTTACACCAGTAGCATTAGAAGACACAATGCTACCTCTTTATCCCAATACTGAGATAGATAAATTCATGGACCTTATCACAGGACCCTCTGTGATAACAGGACACAGAATCACAGGGAACTCATGACTAAATTGGAAAGTTCAAACCAGATTTTCCTGGTGCCAGTGGCTTCAGTGAAGCACTAGATCATGGTAGGACTCCAGCCCAGCATTCATTTGCAAGTGCTGTCTCATCAGAAACATGCACCTCTGGATTACACCCAGTACAGTGCTAACCAAGGCTGGGACTTACTGATTTTGTATGTTCAGGCCGTGGTGCGATAACAGGTGGAGGTTCATTATCATCTTCCTCTTCCTCGTCATCTTCATCCTCTTCTTCAGAAACAGAGGGAGCTAGTGGGGGCTCTGATGCTGTTTTTGTGCTCTGTGGATATACAGTATTAGCATGAGTGACAGTCACAATTTTGGCACTTGGGAGGTTTGATAATTACACAAAACTTCAGTCTGCTAAACCATTCTAGACATTCTAGACCTGTAGTCATGCCAGCCTCAATTCTAAGTTACATATGGTACAATACAATTTAAAGGTTATAAATCACCATGCTGCTTTGTTAATTCACCTTGGTGTTTTTCATTTTTGCTAAAAACAACAAAATCATTTCCACACCTAGTCCAAGCCTGATTTCACAAAATGTACTGCTGGACTACATCATTACAAATCACTTCTATTTTCTGGTTAATTGCTTTGGCATTGTGTCTACAGAAATGGTAGCAGTTAATTAAGCTAACAGGTGTCTACTGGCTAGGTTAATTAAGACACTTCAAAGTGCAAAGCCTCCTTTGTCATCTTGCTGGGAATTTGATTTTAGAGAGGAATGCTATTTGTTTCTTTACAATTTTACTCGTGGAGTAGTCACATTGCCTGCTTCCACAGTGCTGGAACTGCCCTTTTCAGCAGCTCCTTTCTCAGCACCATCCTCCTCTTTACCTGAGCACAAGTTAAGACATTGATCTTCCCCCCATTTGCCTGTTCCTCACCACAGCAGTGACCCAGAGGGAATGAAGCCCTTGATATCAGGGTGTATCCTGCCGACCTGCAAGCAGGCATCCCCTCAGCTCAGCTCACTTGCAGGCAGTGGAGAATAAAACCCACTGCCCAGGAGCAGTCAACCTTCAGGCAGGCTACAACTATGGGGCAAGCAAGGGAAGTCTGGCCGATCAGATAGATGTCTACATGTAAACCGAAACCAACAGTGCAGATAGTTAAAATGAAGTGAGTTGAACCCCCATATCAGTGCCAGCTGCTGCTCAGAGGCAGAGGGCTGTATTACCTTGTCACAAATTTACTGATGAAACACAAAATTGAAGAGCTTCCTTGTTAAGTCTTTACCAACTGCTTTAAAGCCAGTCACAACAGGCCACTTAGAGAACTGAAACAAATCAAAGGCACCATTCTAAATATTCATATCTGATTTGTGTTATCTTTAAAATGGCATCAGTTTGGGCAAGTATAAATCCCAGCAAGGGACAGCCTGCATGGAACAGGGAGATCTGATCTTCACGCCTGTGTGTGACTGAATACATGACTGTGTTGCTGCCTGAAGTCACCTGCACTTCAACACACCGTCATGTAGATACACACACGAGTTGTATTTTCTGTAAGACTCAATTCTGTTATCCAACTTTTAAAGGTAAAGAACAGGCTACTAATCTGGCTCGAGTACAGAATGATACATTAGACATCCTAAAGGCCAGTTTAAGGGCCAGCTCTGTCAGGCAAGGGGTGCCCCATGGGAAGGTGAATGTGACTCTGTCATACATGAGATCAGTGTATAGCTTCCCATGTATGCATCATTAGCACTTTGCTTACATGGGGATAGAAGATGATTAAGGTAAAAATAAAGAAAGGATAATCACATTTCTGTTATGACAAATGCTTTTAACAATTTTTTTCCACTGGGCTCCGTGCTTGGTCCAACAACATTAAATTGCGCAGCTAGAACATATACAATGTTATATTATTTAATGCCAGACTCCTATTAAGGAGTGAAATGAAATTAAAGTAATTCCAGTGACTGCTCAATCCTGTCAGAGTGGTTTTCCCTGTACTCTAACATTCAACCACCATCCTCTGAGTTGGTAACTTCTGAATGCTGACATCTTGACTGTCTGACCACTGTCGGCTAGAAGAAAACAGTACAGCATCTGCCAGTGCTTCCATACCCACTGAACAGCTATTGGGAAGGCTTACTCTGCTCCAGTGAACCCCAAACTTCCTTTTAAAAGTGTATTTTATTAAAGATAATGAAATCGTCACCAACTGAAAATCTTAAGCGTGAACATTCAAAGGTGGTTTTCAATTAATTATAAGCTCTCTCTACTGTGTAATCACAAATCTAATATTAAGTTGCTTAACACTTGAAAATAAAGGCCAAATCCCCATGTAGGTATTTGCTGTTTAATGCACTAATATTAACACTAATAAATCTTGTCAATATTAATGTGGATGTCATGACTACATCTCTGGGATTGCTATGGCAATCCAGTATTACAATGGATGATTATTTAAACTTTCTGTCAGTGGTTCCAGTAAGTTACAGATCAATTATAGCCTTATTTATATTCAGCTGCATATCCAGCTGTACTAAGGATAAATAATAAAATTTAATAGAAATGGATTCCAAGTTGTTAAAACTAAATTAAAATGGGCTAATTAGACAGTACTGCATATTGTTGTAAATTATATATTTCACCATGACTGAGAACAGCAAGCACTCTTCTGTCTACAAAACCAGACTTTCATCTGTTTGCAAGTCCTGAAACAGAAAATTAGGAAACAGCCAGCAATCCCTTTTCTGCTTCTGCAAAGACACTAAAAGGTATTTTCCTTCTGCCTACAAGGCTGGCAACCAGTCTCAAAAGGCAAAGCTTACAGTTTGCTCCCCAGTTCTTAAATGCCATGAAAGCAAAGGTTACTTCCACACTCACCGAAGGATGGGCTTCTATGTAGCCATGGGCGCTCTTATCTGCAACGTGCAAGGGAAAATTAACCACATGCTGTTACAAAACTGTCTGTTGTGGGGAATCTCACAGAACAAGTAAATCCAAATAGGTAGCATTTCTCTTTCACAACATCCCTCCTGTAGCAACAGCTATTAGTAAGCAAGATAAGAGGACAATATACTAGATTTTTTTTTTTTTCTAGTTTCTTGTGTCTGTTTTTTGCCCTGTTTTGACAATAAATAAGAACTTGGTCAAGAAAATGCAAGCTGCTCTTTAACAATCAATGCTTCTGTTACGCTCAAGAGCTAAAGCAGCTTTTTTTCTTTTTTCTTTTATTCCAATAAATTGCATGCATTGATTCTCTAGGCTGCTGAAACTGTCCGCCTATCAAAGCTCCCCCCCAAACCACCCCTAGCCATGGCAGTTCTATGTGGACAGAGCAAAGTAACAACTCCTGAATTCAGGAGTACACAGCAACTGTTTTGACTTTCATCACAAAAGTAATTACTATTTTAGCAATCCTTAAGTGTCAAGTTAGAAAGTAAAGTATTTTAATTATGGAATAAAAAAAATATGCTTTCCCTCAAAAGAAAATATGCACTAGTAAATTCTGGAGATAACTGCACAGCTTTCAGAAGGACTTTGGAGATCCTCTCCCAGTCTGCATTTTGTAAGTTGTATTGGTTGAACCAGCAAACTGAGGAAATTACAGACTCCACTGCCACAGATTGTCCTGCATAGTGAACTGAGCCACCACAGGTTAAATTACAAATGCTGTCCTTTTGAATAGACACACCTTCTTATTAGCTGAAGCTGTTAATATGACCTTTTCCAAATGAATGGAATCTTAATGGTATTTTTGTCTAAAAATTAACTCAGTTACTGAGGAATAGTGAAAGAACACATAGATATGAGAGCTAGATGTGCTGCACCTAGTAAAAACCTCTGCTTACAGCCAGAGCTTGTCTAGCAAAATAATGAAAGAATGGGACAAGGACAAAAAACAAGTGAACTGCAGCACAGACTCTTCCTCTCATTTTTGCAATGCTACACTGGGATTTTGCAGACTGTACACAACGAAGGGAAAAAATGTCATCCCCATCACACTTGCAGGCTTGTGGATAGCAATGCCTAAGCAATAAGGATCTTCCTGGAAAAAGCACTCTATGGAGACTGCTCTGGACACTGACGCTCTCCTCATCCTCTGTGGCAACATTCCTTTAACATCACACATTTTACAACCATTCTAGGTTGGTCTGTGAATTTATGTGTAGCAACCTAATCTGTAAATTCTCCTCTACCACAAAGTATTACAACAAGTCCTCATAGTCAACATATTGCTCAAAAGGTCCAAGAATAACTCATAAATTACACAAAACAAGTATTCCCCACATCCCAATCTGAACACTGTGAAGGAACAAGGATGTGAAGAGACAAAAGGAAACGTGACCTTTGGCCACTAATACTTCTGACTGAAAATGGTAATGAGTGCTCCATCTAGCACCTTATTTGTAAAAACAAGCGACAAAGAAAAGTCACAGTTTCAATGACATTTAGGGGACAAAAGGAGTATTGCACAAAGCAGAATTTTTTAAGGTTGCTTCTTGACCATTTGAATGTGGGTCTGACTCGTTTGAGGGCCTGACAATCCCTTTTTTACAGTGAGATGAAGACTTACCTCCTGATGTAAAGCTCATATATTTCTGGTTGTTAACCGTTTCTTTGGAATCATAAAATTTGAGAACATCTAAAACAGCTTGTGGGTTCTTCTTCTGCTCCAGCTTTGTTATGTTGGAGGTCTGTAGTAGCCTGGCCCACTGCTCTGGAATGCCCTGCAGATGTCAAGTGGAAAGAACACAGATTTAGAATATTTAACAGCTGCAGCCTCACAGATCTTTACCAAGATCCCATGCTACCTGTAAGATTACTTTCAGAAATTTTGATTTGACACCTTACAATTAAAATCAGTAGCTTATACATTAAATGCAATCATTCTCTTCTATATAAAAAATATAGAGCTAAAACCAGGATCCAACTTTAAAAAGAAAAGAAAGTTATGACTGTGATAGGAAAAAAAGTGCATGAAACTCATCTTTAAATCAACTCTGTTCTTCCATGGAATAATGATTTAAGACTTAGCTTGTCTTCCTAGTGATTCAGTGCAGACGTAACAGGACTATTCTATAATTGTGGACAACACAGTGCATTTTAGGAGCTTTACACTGGATTTTTAATGCTTAATAACGCAAACACATTTTGCTGAAACAATCACTGCTGTCTGATTATAAGGTAAACCCCAGTCTGATAAAACAAATTTTCAGCATACCAGGGAAGACTTTGGGTTTTTGCATTAAATTCTCAAGATCGTAACGCTGAGTTGTGCCACTGCTGCTAAGGATGCCTCTTTTTTGAGCTCCTGTAACTCTGTAGGTTCTCTACTGTAAACATACAGAAACCAGGGACTCAGAAAACACGCTCCGAGTGCCAAAGCCTTGCATGAATTCTCAGATATCTTATGACTGGGGGTGGCACTTGAAAACTGATCCAATCGCTAAAAGCCGCAGCTCTGCATTGAAATGAGATTGATTAAAAACTGCTTTAAATATCCAGTATAATTTCCTAAACTTGAAAGCCTGTAATTTCCCCATTTACTGCACAACCATCATCTACCCGTGAATTGTAGGGCTTACTGAATGAAAAACTACACCTGAAGTATAGTTAGACTTGGCGCCACCCCAAACCAGGTAAACACTTTAACATAGCTTCTTCCTGAGAAGTTCTCCACAAAACAATGTGTGACATGGGCCTCCAAAGTTTAGGATCAATGAGAAAGAAGTGGGATAAGCCAAGCAACAAATCTACTGCACACACATCAACCTGCTGCTGCAGTGCTATGACATCTCAAAGAAGCATTGGGATGCAAGATTCTTTTGGGCCTGTGACGCACCTCTGGGAGCTTCCCTGTGCACATCTGTGAGCCATAGAGATCTGGCTGTAATGGACGTAAATAAAGAAAGAAAAGAAAGTTAAAACAGAATGTGGGACAACTTAGAAGGTGGTAGGAGGAAACCAATAGGCCAAAATGGGGAAGTCCCATTTAAAATGGGAGTTACGAGGTAGGTATCAAACAGATTAGGTAGTGGACGGGCTACAGGAAAGCAGGCTTAGGAAAACAAAAAAATCACAACTGTTTCAAAGTTTGGAAGCATCATTCCCCCTCCTCTCTTTTTGAAACCAGTTTTTCTCTCCCTCATAAAAATACAGAACTGAAGATTAATAGCAAGTGATGGGAAGAATTACCTGTCTTTTCTTCTTTTAGTTAAAAACTAAAAACACCAGGAAAGATCTGGGCTTCTGCTGTCTGTCCAGTTTTGAAAGCCAGGTTAGCATTTTTGAATGGCTCTAAATAAGCTTTTTCCAATGGTTCTCCAGCCCCAAGTTCACAGTTGGCTAGTGCATGAGTCTAAGTGCAGTGGAGAAAGCAGCGGGCCAAACTCGATTTCACACTGGGAGGTTGTTTATTGTCATAACACAAATCATCTGTGTGTGTGCCAGACTGAAAATCAGGACAATTCTAAATAAATGCTTGATATAATGTGTAACTTCTTTGGATCTATAGCCACAACTTTCACTCACTAGCTAATGTCATATAATCTTTGAAACTTTAAAAGTTTGGCGGGTGGCCACGTTTTATTCTAGATTGGGGATCAGGAAACTGTTTCAAAAACGCATGCCTTACAAAACACACTTGCCAAAGCCCTGCAAACCACACTTCTTCCTGCATTCAGAAAATGCAACTATTTCTTAAAAATAAATCAACATTAAGCTCCAGCAGCATGCTCCCACCCAACAGTTTCCAACCAATTTTATTCGGAGCTTTAAAAGCCGTACTTCCAGCAAACGTGGTTGCTCCAAACACAGTGAAATGGAGATATAAGTTTATGAGCAACAACACAGCCTGGTGCTCAAGCCTGAAAGATGAAACCAAGGAGCCCATGCAACTTGGATTTGAGATGCAACCAACAGCAATCAGGTAATGCAGCTGGAGGTGAACATGAGATGTCAGGAAATGGCCCAATGCATCGCACATAACCAGTAGAGCGAACGCTATTGGCATGACAACTGTATTAATTAGAACAAATTAAAAAAAACCCAAACCCATATATTTGCACATCTATAGGACATTCCCATGGCGCTTCCAAACTTTTGAATGAGACAGACAGTGTGATCACTAGACAGCGGGAATACTTTTGCATGATCTGGCTAGTGGCAGTCCCTTCAG